AGTAATGGTTTGACGAGTTTGGGTACTTTTTTCGTTACAATTATATTTATAGATTTTACTTTTTAGTTTAAGTATTATTAATTTCTTAATAAATTTTTATTGTCTTTATGAAGAGATACTATAAATAGGATTCACTAGACAAGCTAGTCATTAAAATGATATTTGATTCTCACGATCGCGTAGGCTCTCAGATATGCTTGTTTATGCCAAGAAGTTTTGTAGGCTTGATTGGATTTCGCTTTCTATGTGGGATGAACTTCAAGTTTATTGGAGGAATGAGAAAATTTACTAAAATAAGTACTTAAAACAAAGGAAATTTGCATTCAGAAAAAAATGTAGTTCTTTCCATACAGGAAGTTCTATCTCTCCACGTGAGCATACCAAGAGAATAGTAAGTTTTAATATTTTATAAAAATTAAAATTATTTAATAATTGCAAATACTAAAAATATTTATTTTTTATTTTAATAAAAGGAAACCTGTTGACCTCCCCATTTTGCCAAACTCTTTAAGTACTCCCACGTTAAAAAGGAGAATGAGAAGATTTGGGTAGATTGGCACTCTGAGATAACTTTTGTAAGTTATTTTTGCTTATTTGTATTATTATTAACTTATTTTTATTAATATTTTTTGTGTTTTACTTATTTTATGAATTATTCATATATTTAGACTGACCTCCAAACTGTCCAGTCTTCTCAATTTGCACTTGACAAGAGCTCCACTCCAGAGTTTCCAGATATGGCAAACACTAAGCTTTGGATGAAGTGTGCTAGGTGAAGAGCCTTTGGACATGTATATGGCCTAGGAAAACAAGGTTCTTCCTAGTTAGTGCATTATCTTCCATCTGATGCAGTCGACTCCTCTAGCGATCCAGATGCTTCATCAAGAAAATAAGAAGTTTTCTAAAAACGTGGGGGTTATGGAGAGAAAAAACTCGGAGTTACAACAAAAGGTTAGGAGTATGAAAACTGCCATTCAAGAATTGTGTAAGATGATAATAATAGCAACAATGAAGAACACACCATCCATTCATCCATTCCCTCTACTCTTGTACATAACTCTAATTCAACATCTGGGTTAGGTGGGGGTGATGGTTAGGAGTAATATATATATATATATATATATATTTTTTTTTTCTACTGAGAATTTATTAGTATTTTTATTTGGATATTTAAATTTTTTATGATTAAATTTTAATATATAGTTTTTTATTTTTATTCTTATGCTTGTGTTTATGTATTTGAAAAAAATAAAATAAAAAATTACATTTTTTAGATAATAAATAAAAGGGTTAGAAAGTAAAATTGGAAACAAAAGAATAAAAATAATAAAAATATAAAGAATAAAAAAAGGTAAAAGTCGAAACAAAGTAACAAAAAGATTAATTTTTATTTTTTTGTTGCTTACAAATAGGAAAAATAAAAAAGTTACCAACACAATATTGCATTGGTTAAAGAACAAAAATTAATTAGAAAACAAATATACAAAGGCAACCTTTCATAAGTAATATTGAAAAAATTAAATATTCAATAAAAATAAAGTTATCAATGCAATGTTACGTGGGTAAAAAAAATTGAATAAAAAATAAAATTATCGAGGAAATCTTACGTTAGTATTTTTGAAAAAAATAGAACCTTAAATAAAAATAAATTTACCAGTGCAAAGTTGCATTAGTAAAATAAGAATTAAATAATAAAATAAAAATTGTTCTATGCAACTTGCATCAATAAATTCTTGATAATGTGTTGGTAAATCTGCCATTTTGTTAATTGAGAGAGTAAATTACCAATGCACGTTTTTCCAATTTTTGACCCTTTTTGCATCGAAAATTTCCGACGCATCCACTTTTTGCATTAGTAATTATTTCTAAGGACAATTTTTTTTGGCATTTATAGTTGTGTCGATTTTGTGTCAGTAAACCTTATTATTGACGTAAATTGGTCATTACTAATACTTTTTTTTTTGTTGGTAATGGACCAATTTCTTATAGTGAGCGAGAGAAATTACAAAAAAATAACGGAGAATACTTGTTCATGTTTGCATGATCACTTCAAAAATGAAACAGAAACAAGGGAGATATAAATGAGAAGAGGGTAAATACTATTAGCCAAACTAAATATTAAGGTTGCGTTTAGTAGCATTCATGTTTCTCTATTTTTATTTACAAATTTAAAAAATTCAAAACAATTTTTAAGAAGATTGAATATAAAAAAAAATTGTTCAAAATGAGGAGAATTTATGTAATAATCTTTTTTCCCATAAAAAATGCAAGTAGTAAATTTTATTTTTTAAAATTTTTTATAAGTTAGGGCCTAAATAGGTTATGAAATATATTTTTGTTTTATGTGCAGAAAAATTTTGAAAACAAGCTTACCTTAATTATCTTCTTACTTTCCTTTTTTGAAATTCCAAAAATAAATAACTTAAATTTCCTCATCAAAGAAGAGAAGGGATTCCTACAATAGGTTGGTGCAATAAGTTTATTCAACAACATGATTAGTGGTTCAAATTAGAAACATTAAAGAATATTCAAAATTTATTAGTATCATAAAGGCAATTGATGTTGAATCTCAACCCATGCGCTTGAAGAAGAACAACTAAATATATATTTTATTTCTCAGTTCATTTTAAAATTTATGTAGGACTCGTTTAATTATATATTTAAGTGAGTTTAAATAAAAGGGATTTAAATAAAGTGTGTTTGAAAAAATAGATTTAAATAGAGTAAGTTTTATTGTTTGATTGGAGGCGTAAGCAGATATATGAAAAGTGAATTTAGAAAAATTGAATTTAAATAAACTAAATTTGGAGAAAATAAATTTAAATAGAACAAATTTAGTTGTTCCTCTATGGAGTGTTTGACAAATTTATTTAATGTTAAACATGATTAAAACTAGAATCAAACAAGCTGTTAAAGTAATACTAAAGTAAAGAAAATTATTTATCACCCTCCATTTCTACATACTGAGAGAGGCATGATAACAAGATAATTATCAATGCTCTCTCGTGTTAAAAGCATAACAGCATACTGGCCACTATAACAACTGTTATATCTAGTTCGAACTACACCTGCACCTGTGTCTATATACTTGTTTATCTTATATAACATATTACTATAATAATCTTAGAACATGTGGTAGTAATATCTAATTGAAAACCATGCAACATCAACTATAAAAAATTAACAGCACAATGTCTATCTAAACTATAAATATTTTATGACTAATACCCTTCAATATCTTATATATAACTTCTTGTTTTCTCTCACAAATAAAAAAAAAATCATACAATTTTTGAGACTGGCCAATCTTGTTTAATGTATGTTTTGAACTAAAGGATGCTGAGACTGATGCTTTCTAGATCTGGCTTCTAAAATCTGAAAGGGGAAAAAGGAGTAAGACTAATGCCTCAGTGAATGGCACATAACTTACATTTAGTAGAAATAGATTAGAGCTACTAGTCATAATATAACTAAATATAGTTCATAAAGCATCTCAAACAAATGAAATACTGAAAATCATAGCATGGAAAGCATTTAGTTTCTATTGATTTGCAGTATCAAAATTTTATGTCAAAACATGAAGCATTTTTATACAAACGATCTATTTAAAACTAAAAGCATTTTTAATAAAAAAACACTTTTTTTTGTTTAAAAAAATCCAAACGGACCTCAAATTTATCACACTTCTATCATCACCAACACAACAATGCTTAGGGCCTCAAATCCATGCTGCGCAAAAGATTCAAATCCTTTCCTCAGCTACATGGCCTTTGCCGGATGAAATAAATTTCTCTCTTTGTTTTATTTTTCATTTTTTCATTTTTATACCAACCAAATATAAGTAAATAATTTGAGACTTAATTTTTTATCTTTATTTCTTTTCTTTTCTTTTATAAATTCAAAATCTATAATAAAATTTTATAACTCATGTTTACTACACGTATAAGTAAACAACAATTTTTTTTATTTCTATTAAAATCATTTTATTAATATATTTTTTGAACTAATTTTGAATTTATCTTTTTTTAACATATTTTTGAACTTAATTTAAATGGACGCTGATTGACTTTTTTATCTTAATATAATTTTTTATTTATGAAAATATAATTTTTTAAATTATTTATAAAAATGTAATATTTCTAGATTATTTACTAAAATGTAATCATAATTTCACGTTGAGAAGTTAATTCTTTTAAAACTAACTTCCTAATTTGAAACTTTTTTAAATCGAAGGGAAGTCGGATCTCTCAAAACTGACTTCCCTTCAACACTTTTGTTTTAAAAAAAATTTTAAGAAGAGAAGTCGAATCCTCTAAAACCAACTCTCCTTTTCTTTTATATTTTTCCTTAACAAATGGACTTCTCTTCTTTGATTTTTATTTTTATTTTTACTTTTTTACATTTTATAATTTATAAATTTAATTATAATTAAAAATATAAAATACTTTATATTTTATAAGTTTTTATTTTATATTTTTATTTATAATTAAATTTATAAATTATAAAATTTTTAAAAATAAAAAAGATAAAGAAAAAAGTTTGAGAAAATTGGCTCCCTGGAACCGACTTCCTTTTTTTGTGCATTTAAAAAAAGGCGTGTAGAGAAGACAGTTTATTTTTGGTTAAAAAAATTCAAATTGAGAAGTCTCAACATGAAATTTTAATAAATAACAAAATAAAATATTACATAAAAGAACCCCATTTTCTATCAAACAATTTTTCACTTCCGCCGAATCATGATCCTATGTTGACGTGTATTTCCAGCATCTGACAAGCTTTCGCAGTACGCGTATGCTCTTCGATTAACTTAACTTCGCTCTTGGCGTCACGGATGATGGTTAAATCAGATCAGGTGGATAAGTGTTTGGGCCAACCCTGATACGACACCGTTTCATTGCCTGCACTGCGAAGTCATTTATACTCGCCTCTTGCGGCCCCGGAGAACAAGCACAGCAGAAAGTCTGTTGGGGTGTCCGCGGCTGTACCGGTAGTAAGTGAAAATGGAGCACAAGCACAAATACGAGCAGTTCAAAGGCCAACCGAGACTACCCAAATTTGCGGCTCCTAGACGTTACGATATCAAGCTCAAGCCCGACCTCGTCACCTGCAAGTTCTCCGGCGCTGTCGAAATATCCGTCGACGTTGTGGCCGAAACCAAATTCATCGTCTTCAATGCCGCCGATCTTGCCATTGACTCCAGTTCCGTCCGCTTCACAGATCAGACCGGCTCCAAGGTATTGCTCAATCTACTACTATATTTCGTCGCTTACTTGGTGGTAGCCGATGTGAGTAAATGGACCTCGGATTCGTCTGGCTGGATGTTTTTTAGGTGCTGAAGGCTCTGGAGGTTGAGCTGTTCGAAGATGATGAGATCGTGGTGGTGGAGTTTCCCGAGAATCTCTCGCCTGGCATTGGTGTTTTGTGCGTTGCCTTCGAAGGAACCCTAAATGACAAAATGAAAGGCTTCTACAGAAGGTAAAATCTTCTCTCTTTCTTCTCTCACTTGCCTCTGTTTGTACGTGTTAACTAACATATTAGCTATGCAGAGATTAGGTGCATTCCTACTTTACTTTCTGATGAGTATTGCATGTCTTTCTATTCGTTTCTGTCATTTTCTGGTAGATTTTAATTTCCTAGAAATTCGATTATCCAGATTTGTGCTTTTTTACAATATCTGAAACGGGGTCTCAGTTGTGGTATGCGGTCTTTTTTCCCTTATTTGCTCACTGAAGACTTTTGACGCTGCATTGGTTTATTATCCAACACTGGTAACTATATCTGCTTTGTGTTCATGAACCCCCGCTCCCCCCCGGTCGTGCTCTTTTATGTCAATCTGTCTCTACCTCTTGAATTTATTTGGACATCCACGCCATTATAAATTTTGTGTCTTTTATGCTCTTTGCCACTTGATAGAGGACCCTTCAGCTCACACGTGCTCAAGAATGTGTAGAATTATGGTTGGCCTTGTGCTGCATGAGACTAGGATGGTATCTCTCTATTTGCTTGCCAAGGAATGCATGGGAAACCTTTTTACTCAAATTCTAAATATCAAACAATCCTATGCTTGTGGTACACGCTTCCTTTGTTTTCTTTTTCTTCCAAAAAGATGAAACGTGTCCATGGGTGTGCCTGAGCTGAGATAAGAGAAAGATACGTGAAAGCTTGAATAAGTTTCTATATATACCAATGACATTTCTTTAGTTGGGTGAGAAAAAAACTTGATGTTTCTTTCTTTATTTCTTCTCTCTTTACTATTATTATTATTATTATTATTATTTGTTTTTGGGGTCTATACTGAGAAACTTTATAATAAAAGCGAACCAAGTTCATGTCCCAAGAAATTGTTCAAGATATGAAAGGAAAACATGAATAAAATGCAAGAAAAGGGCCCAGAGTTTTCAGCTGCTAATTGTATTGAAAAAATACTGTTCTTGAGCTTAATATTGGTATTTGTTATTCTGGTGAGATTTCATAAACTAGACTGATAAGCAAAATTAGAGAATATTGTCCAAACCATCGTATGGTTGTTTCACTATGTTATTTTCGTTTGCACTTTCACAGCTAATAAAGTGAAGTTGGCCTTTATTTTTTGCATTTATTTTGCTTTAATTATTCTTCCTCTTCAGCACTTATGAGCATAATGGGGAGAAGAAGAACATGGCTGTGACGCAGTTTGAACCAGCTGATGCAAGACGGTGCTTTCCGTGTTGGGATGAACCTGCTTGTAAGGTGCAGGTCCTTCAACACCCCTGGTTTTCCTCTTCTTGTGTGTATGGAGATGTTTTAGGAAGATAATATTATTTATGGAAAGACCATTAAGCAAAATAACAAGTCGAAATATGCTTACCTCTGCTTTTGGTTGTGGAATGAGGTGCCTATACTTTTTAGCCTAGATTTTTATTAGTAGCCCTTATGTTTTAGCACTCATTTCTCAGGCTACATTCAAGATCACATTAGAAGTGCCAGCTGAACTTGTAGCTCTTTCCAATATGCCTGTTTTTGATGAAAAAGTGGATGGCAGCATCAGGACAGTATGCTACCAGGAATCACCTATCATGTCTACATATCTGGTGGCAGTTGTCATTGGTTTGTTTGATTATGTGGAAGATCATACGCCTGATGGTAGAGTGTTTCACTTTCAGTTCTTTCTCTTGCTAAGTGTGATTTGGAAAATGCAATCTTAGTCTAACTTTCTTGGCTGCACAGGGATAAAAGTTCGTGTCTATTGCCAAGTTGGTAAAGCAAGTCAAGGGAAATTCGCTTTGGATGTTGCTGTCAAAACACTTGAACTTTACAAAAAGTATGTTCAGTTTTCTGTGAATTATGCTACTAATAATTATTTCATTAGCAAAAACTTCATCTAACCAGCTGGAAAACTTACACACTGTTGGGTTTTATTACTACAATTGTCAATTGTGCTTCTGGAAATGTATGTTACTAATTGATATTTTCTTTTATATGCTCTTGTGATATTTGCATACCAAAAGTCTTCTGATTTACTATTTAGAGTTCTTCAGGTACTTTGAAGTGCCGTATTCACTGCCTAAATTAGATATGGTGGCGATCCCTGATTTTGCTGCTGGAGCCATGGAAAACTATGGTCTAGTTACATATCGTGAAACAGCCTTACTGTATGATGATAAGCATTCTGCAGCTGCTAATAAGCAGAGGGTAATATAATAAGCTTTCAGTATACTTTCTGTCTGAAATATTGTTAAATTGACCGGGATCATTTATGCCTTTTTTTTTTTTTTGTGGGTCTTAGCTCATTACTTGGTGATAACATGATGAATTAGGTTGCGACTGTTGTGGCCCATGAACTTGCACACCAGTGGTTTGGCAATCTGGTGACAATGGAATGGTGGACCCATCTTTGGCTGAATGAAGGATTTGCAACATGGGTATTTCAGTTTATTGTATATGCACTTTTCTCTTGTTATAGTTAATAGTGAGTCCTATTAAAACGGTGTCTTATTTACAGGTAAGCTATTTAGCAGCTGATGGCTTGTTTCCAGAATGGAAAATTTGGACACAATTTCTTGATGAATGCACTGAGGGACTGCGATTGGATGGACTAGCAGAATCACATCCCATCGAGGCATGTTGTAAATTCTAGGATTCTGTTGTTTTGCTTCTTTTAATATTTTATTTCAAGTTTTATATATACTAAAACTATTTTTGGAATATTTTTTCTTCAGGTGGAGATCAATCATGCAGCTGAGATAGATGAAATATTTGATGCAATTAGTTATAGGAAAGGTGCATCTGTTATTCGCATGCTACAAAGCTATCTTGGTCCTGAATGTTTTCAGGTTGGTCATTGTGACTTTTGTTAAGCAATTTCAACTGCTCACTGATTATTTTTCTCAAGTTGGTCCTTGCATCTGGCACTTTACAGTATGGTCATCTCTTGGAATTTCCTTTCTGTCCCTGTTAACACATTGCATTTATGAAGACAGTAGTCAGCAAGCTTTCTCAAAAATTGTCACGTACTGAAATGAAATTGTGTGAGCTTTAGGTTACATTATTACTTCACACCTTAACTCTCTATGCCTCCTTTATATTCATTGGTTTGGGAATTTTTAGAATTTGTTTAAAGTGCCAAGGCATACATTTGCATCTCACATGCATATCCTAGTGTATAGCTCCTTCAGGGCCCTATATTTTCTCATATGTGAGGAAAACTTGTGTTGGATCATGACTAATGCTTGATCTCGATTATGGCATAAAGAAAATGAGAAGAATAAATATAAAGAATGCAAGTGAGAAAGTAGATGATGACTTAAAAATTTAGGGTTATTGACATATTTTGTTTCTGGATTTTTTTTTAATTGTTTTTGAATTTCTTCAGTTTAGCTAAGTGGTATTCAGAGAGTGGAATAGTTATATTAGTAGCTTGTTTCTAATTGGTCATTTTGGTGCCTTTTGTTATTGATGTAGTTATGTGAATTAATTATTTTTGGATGAACAAACTAATTGTTTTCTTTTTATGTGATTTCTTCTTGCAAATAGCGGGCACTTGCTTCATACATAAAAAAGTATGCTTGCTCAAATGCAAAAACCGAGGATTTGTGGGCTGTCCTTGAAGAGGAATCTGGCCAACCAGTGACAAAGATAATGAATTCATGGACGAAGCAAAAGGGTTACCCCGTGGTCTCTGTGAAAGTTAACGATAAAGAGTTGGTGTTTGAGCAGGTTTTTTATATTGATGCTTTTCACCCATTGACTTTTAAGATTGGATAAAATAGCTGTTTTACGTGTATGAGTTCATTGTTAACATTGGGAACTTGAAACATGTAAATTATTTAATGGCAGTCACATTTTTTGTTGAGTGGTTCACAAGGGAAGGGCACTGGATTGTTCCACTAACTTTATGTTGTGGCTCATATGCTGCTCGTGAGGTTATTCTATTGGAAGAGAAATCTAAGACGCTTGATCTGGGGACTAGAAATTGGATAAAAGTCAATGTGGACCAGACTGGCTTCTACAGGGTGAAATATGATGAAGACCTTTCCAGCAGACTTAGATGTGCAATAGAGACCAAATGCTTATCTCCAACTGATAGATTTGGTAATTTTACTGCCTTGTTGTCTTTCCCTTTTATCATACAGGATGAGTAGCTAACATTAAGTTCTCCTTTTCAACAGGAATTTTGGATGATTCTAATGCCTTGTGTATGGCTTGCCAGCAACCTTTGACCTCCTTGCTTAAGTTGATGAGTGCTTACAAGGACGAAGTGGAATACACTGTTTTGTCTAACTTGATTACCGTAATAATAACCATCTTTTGCATATTTGTACTTTTGTTTTTTTGGGGCTTCCAACCTTTCAGATTTATCTTGTAATCTTAGTTGTCAAGCTTTGTTTTCACAGATAAGTTACAAAATTACAAGAATTATAGCAGATGCTGCTCCTGAATTGCTGAATTGCATCAAAGAAATTTTTATTAAGCTATTCCAATATCCTGCAGAGTGAGTTCCTCAACTTTTGAACTTGTGGACTAGATTCATCTTAAGATTGTATTTTAGTATTCAAGATCTCTATATGCTTAGAACTATGCTTTGTTGCTTTGATTTGTGAGTTTTGGCAGTAGGTCATGGGATGCTCAGTCATGAGGATGTGATGGCGTAGGACTCCCTTAAGAGAGGACCAAATGAATAGTTAGATGTGCTAGATAGGGTTTCAAGTTATCAGATTTTTGTGATGTGAATCATGGAGTACAAGATGAACCATTTAGTGTTATTATTGGACCAATCACTAGTTCAAGAGCAAACAACTTCAAAAATTTAAAACTTTGTTGATTTGCGTTTAACTTATAGAGTTAGAAACAACAAGAGAAGAATATGAGTCACATTGACTTGAATACTACAAAGGAGGTGTAATTAATACTATGCAGTAATTATAGTAATTAATACTCTTGTTGACTAGTTGATAGAACAATTTAATATTTTGTATACTCTTGTTGACAAGTTGGTTCAACAATTAATACTCTGCATTAAATTACAACTTACAACAATTGTTGACAAGCTGGTGCAATAATTAATATTTTGCATTAATTATAACAACTAAAAACTCTTGTCCACTAACTAGTATAGCATTAGTACTCTATTAATTACTCTTTGTTACTTTCAAAATTGTAACAAATGCTTTGTCATGCTTAGTTGTCTTTGCTTACGTCTAGACTGCCATTTTTCTCTATATATATCCTTTTTGAGAGTTGAATGTGTCAGACTTAGTTGATGAGTAAAAACTGCAATTTGCACTTCATTCTTTTTTTTCTCATCTAAACAAGCCCTTTGTTTAGTAGTGAAAACCCTAAATCTTATCACTTATCCTTGAGTGTGATAATTCAAATCTCTAGATTTTGCTTGTGGTGAGTGATTTTATCAAGAAAAACTAGTTGTACACTTTCGGCCATTTTTAATTCTAGTCCATTTCTGTTTTAAAGCAATACGCAGATTTAAACTCGTATCATATTGGCATCAAAGCAATCAGGTTAGCTGGTTTTATCTTTGTTTGAATCGAGTGAAAACATGAGAGCTTGAGTAATACACGTGAGGTTAAGAGAATTTCTAGAGTCAACCATGTTAGAAGATAGCAATCCTTCTGTTCCTAGAGGAATAACACTAGAGTAAGCTCAAATCATATCCATTCAACGTCAACAAAATGAGATGATGGAACAACTCGCTTATTCGACATAAGCAATCAATGGGCTAACTCTACAACAAAATGCACGATCTGTTCAACAAACAGCTAGGAGGGCTGTTCATGAAGAAGTAGATCACGATATAAGTGAATCTGATCACGAATGTGCCATGGATGAACAACTTGTACGTAGGTAGCAAACTAATCGTGGGAAACAATATCAAACTGAAGATTCCTGCATTCAAAGGCACTAGTTCTTTAGAGAAATACTTAAAATGGATGCAACGGGTAGAAAAGGTCTTCGAATGCTACGAGAGTACACTAAAGATTTTAAGTGCAAGTTAGCTACTTGTGAATTTATAGATTATGCAAATCTGTAGTGGGCGAACTTAAAGGCTCAGCAAAGGAGAGATGGTGTAGAACCAATTCGGAGTTGGAGGCTAATGAAAAGGCTCATGCAGAAAAGATTTATTTTTGAGTATGATAAACAGGAGCTATACATCTGAATGCAAAATATCTGACAAGGGAGAATGTACATGGAGGATTATGTTAAAGAATTTGAAACACTCATGATGAGAACTTAACTGTAGGAGCCTCAACAAACTATAACACGATTTTTTGGTGGGTTGATAAAGAAATTGCTAATGCAGTGGAATTACAACTATATGTATTTTTGGAAGATGTGATCAAACTTGCAATCAAAGTGGAGAAGCAACACAAAAGAGGTAACAACAAGCAAGTAATATTTCGGTTAATGAGTAGTAAACCCTCAAATACTACTTCACAAACCCAGAAGTCTGTTTCCAATTGGAATAAACCACAAAAGGAGATTGAAAGATCTAACAAGGGAAGGAAAATATTAGAGATTTTTAACAACTAAAGAGGAGACGAGATATTAAATGTTTCAAAGGTCTTCACTATGGTCACATTCCCTTTGATTGTTCAAATAAGAGAGTGATGATAATTTGTGAATTACAAGAGATAGAAAGCGAGGAAGATGTGGAGGAAGAATAATTAGAAGGTAAAGACAATGTAGAGTATGCTAATGAAGGTGACTGCTTTGTGATTAAGTGAATCTTGAATTGTCTAAGTGAAGATAGAAGAGGTGTAGCGTGGGAACATTTTTCATACATGGTGCACAATCAATAATAAGGTATATGGAGTGATCATTGATAGTGAGAGTTGCACCAATGTTGCTTCTATTACCCTAGTGGAAAAGTTGAATCTAACCACCACAAATCATCCTCATTCCTACAAATTTTAGCGGTTGAATACCAATGAGAGGTATGTGTTACAAAACAAGTTTGTGTTCCATTTTCAATTGAAAAATCATACAAAGACGAGTTGTTTGTGTAATGTGGTTCCCATGAGTACAAGCCATTTGTTATTGGGGATCATGACAGTATGATAGGAGGGCTTTGCATGATAGGTACAATAACACATACTCCTTCAAAGATGGAAAGAGTTTTATTCTAACTCTACTAAGTCCTCAATAGGTGCTAAAAGATCAAGTAGCCAAGGTTAAGAAAGGAAGTTTGATCACAAGGAGAGAGGTGGAAAGAGCTTTGTTAGATTACAATTTAGTTCTAATCTTAATGGTGAAAGAAAGTGGCTAAAGAAGTGATACACTTTCCCTTCACAGATTATTGCATTAATAAAAGAATTTGCTGATGTATTCCCATAAGAAGTACCAGAAAAGCTACCTCCATTGAGGGGAATTGAGCATCAAATTGACTTCATTTCAAGGGTGGTATTACCCAACCGTCCAACATATAGATGTAATCCCAAAGATGCCAAAGTGTTGCAGAAACAAGTGAAAGAATTGCTGGAAAAAGGTTATGTATGTGAATCCATGAGTCCATGTTCAGTTCCAGCTTTATTGGTAACAAAGAAGGATGGTACTATGAGAATGTGTGTGGATAGTCAAGTTATCAACAAAATAACAGTGAAGTATCATTATCGAATTCCTCGACTAGATGATACGAATTTAAATCTGAATATTGTTTCAAAACAAAAGTGGACTAGAATAGAAAATGGTGGAAAGTGTACAACTAGTTTTTCTTGATAAGATTATTCACCACAAGAAAAATTTAGAAGTTTGAATCACCACACTGAAGGATGAATGATAAGATTTAGGATTTTCACTACTAAACAAAGGGCTCGTTTAGATGAGAAAGAAAAGAAATAAAGTGCAAATTGCAGCTTTTATTCATCAACCAAGTCTGAGTATATTTAGTTCTCAAAAGGGATATATATATATATATATATAGAGAGAGAGAGAGAGAGAGAGAAACAACAGCCTAGACATGGGCAAAGACAATTAAGTATGACAAAACATTTGTTACAACTTTGAAAATAGTAAAAGTAGTTGATAGAGCATTAATTGCTATACTAGCTAGTCGATAAGAGTTTTTAGTTGTTGTAATTAATGCAGAACATTAATTGTTGCACCAGTTTGTTAACAATTGTGGTAAATTGGTATAACTTAATGCAGAGTATTAATTATTGCACCAACTTGTCAACAGGGCATGCAATACATTAATTGTTGCATCAGTTAGTCAACAAGAGCAATAATTGCTGTAATATATGCATAGCATTAATTACACCTCTTTTGTAATATTCAAGCTAGGTGTCTCATTCTTTTCTTGTTATTTCTAACCCCATTGGTTCAATGTAAATCAGCAAGGTTTTAAATTCCTAGAGTTGTTTTGCTTTTGAACAAGTGATTGGTCCAATAATAACATTGATGGTTCATCTTGTGCTTCATGATTCATATCGTTTTCCTTGGTTGCAAAGGATTTGTCCTCAAATTCAAGCCTTCATGGTCTTCTAAGTATGGTGATAGATCTCTCATATTAAAAGTGGCTGAAACATTAAAATCACTTGGTAATTCAATTTTGTAAGAATTATTATTTACCTTTTCAAGCACTTTGAATGGTCCATCAACTCGAGGCATCAATTTATTCTTCCTTTTGTTTGGAAATCTTTCCTTTCGAAGATGAACCCATACAAGTTCAAAATTTACCTTCTTCCTTCCTTTGTTTGTTGTTTTCTTATAAATTGCATTCTTCTTTTCAATTATTTGCTTAATTTGTTCATGCAACACTTCCCAAATTTTCAAATTTTGTTGATTACAACTTGAAGTAAAGAGGAAAGAGTTCTATTTACCACGCGGTCTGTTGATCAGTTGGGGGTGACAAGTTGTGTTGAAGAATAGTTTTGTTCCCAGCTTTTTCCACAAAATTTTCCAAAAGTAACTCAAAAACTTGGGAGTCTCGATCTCAAACAATGCTGTTTGGAATTCCATGCATTCTAACAATTTCTTTGAAGAATAAACTAGTTCTAATGAAGTATAATCAGATTTATGAAAAGGGATAAAGTGAGCTATTTTTGAAAACTTGTCTACAACCACCATGATAGAATCTTTGACTCTTTGAGTTCTTGGTAGTCTAAGTATGAAATTCATGCTAATATCAACCCAAGGTTGCTTGGAACTGGTGATTACATATATAAATCATGGAGAGTTTCCTTGCTTTTCGCCCTCTTGCAAGTAGCACATCGTTTAATAACTTTATGCACATCTTGATTCATTTTCGCCAGTGGAAGTGCTCTTTACCATTTCCATAGTTTTTGCCTCACCAAAATGACCAGCGAATCCTCCTCTGTGAGCTTCTTTTACTAACAGCTCTCTGATCAAGTCAGTTGAAATGCATAACTTGTTTACTTTAAACAAGTACCCTTCATGTTGAATAAAGCCGTTAACAGCTCTTTGTTCACAAGACAGATAAATTTGAGTAAAGTAGGGATCTTTCACATATTGGTTCTTAATCATCTCAAATCCTAGTAATTTGCAGTTCATCAAGGAAATCAAAGCATACCTCCTAAACAATACTTCAACTACAGTGTTCATGTTTCCCTTCTTGTACTAGATGATGTATGGAAAAATTTTCAAAAACTCTCCCAATTTAGCATATCTTCGATTCAGTTTGTTTTTCTCCTTCAAGTACTTCAAGGATTCATGATTAGTGTAAATAACAAATTTTTTGGGAAGTAGGTAATGTTGCCAAGTTTCAAGAGCTCGAATAAGTGCATAGAACTCCTTGTCATAAGTTGAGTACTTAAGAGCTGTATTACTTATTTTTTTCACTAAAGTAAGTTGTAGGATTCTTTACTTGAATAAGAACAGCTCCAATCCCAACTTCAGATGTATCACATTCAGTTTCAAAAGTTTTAGAGAAGTCAAGCAAAGCCAGTATAGGGGTAGAACATAGCCTTTCCTTAATTGGCTTAAAACTTCGTTGTGCATCTGCATTCCACCTAAATTAAGCTCATTTCTTCATATACTTTGTTATTGGGGCAAGAAGAGTGCTGAAGTTCTTCACAAATCTCCTGTAGAAGGATGCCAATCTATGGAAGCTCTTTACTTCGGTAATAGTAGTTGAGACTGGCCATTCCTTAATTATTTTGATCTTCTCCTCGTCAACTTCTATACTATGTTCAAATACGACATAACCAAGAAAGACAACTCGGTCTTGACAGAATTGACATTTTTTGAGATTGCCAAATAGCTTCTCGTGCCTCAAGACTTCCAATACCTTTCTAAGATGATTTATATGTTCGTCAAAGTTCCTATTATAGACCAAAAGTTATCAAAATAAATAACAAAAAATTGGCCAATGAACTTATGAAACACATGGTTCATTAATTGCATGGTGCTTGGTGCATTGGACAATCCAAAAGGCATGACCATCCATTCATACAGGCCATGTTTGGTCTTTAATGCAGTTTTCCACTCGTCTCCTTCTTCCTTCTTTCATTCTGATCTGATCGTATCCACCTTTTAAATCAACTTTTGAGAACATTTTGGAGTCATGTAACTCATCTAGCATATCACTTCGACTGTTTGTTTCCTAGTAATTGAGACTTGGAGGGTGTGTGTTGACCCCTATTTACATTATTTTTCAGCTGGGGACTTGGTCCCTTGTCGTGTGAAGTATCCCTCTAGTCCAGATAAAGTCTTGGCCAAGAGTAGGAGTAATGCCTGGTGAAGCTCACTCCTAGTCATCCAAGCCAGTTGACTCAAAATTCGTCCCACTTCTGTTGTATGCATGGAGCATAGGTGTCTTTCTCTATTGTCTTGAGTCTATGGGTGATTAAGCCAACTTATGTGGTCCACGAGGATATGACCCTCTGCATCAATGAATCATAATGATGTCAAAGGACATCCTTATTTATTAGTGGTGATATTTGCGATGAACCATCACTTAAATGAGCCTTTATTGGGTGTGACTGACCTAGGAGGGCATCCTCCCTATGCTTAGACCTGCGCACAACCTACCGATGATTGGGCACTTTCAATGGAACGTTGCTTCTTGCTCCAAGACTTCGCTTGAAGGAGATAAGAGCGGTAAGAAGTTGCTTGAGCAACTCTTCATTGAATGGGTGTGACCTTCAAGTTCATATCATTCGAAGGGTTCAGTCTTGAGGAAAGGTCTGAAGTATAATGTCCTCAAATCTGTCTGGGATCCAAACATAGGATAAGTACCCATTCTATGTACTGGGGAGGAATGGCTTGTGACTTGGGTCTCAATGAGGCCTAACACCTTGATCCCTGAATATTACATTGATAAAGCTCCATCCTTTTTTACTCTTGACACCAAAGCACCTAATCCCTCAAGCTGAGGCAGAGCATGGTCCCTTAGTTTGATCTTAAAGATAGTTATCTTGCCTCTCAAAGAGGCTGAAGCTAACATTTCCTTGAATGCCATGGCGTTGAAGCATGTGAATGGTAGTCTTCTTATTGATGCCTGTTTAAGAAGCCAATGTACATAAGAAAACTACATACTATACAAATTGGATTGGGTTCACTTTTTTTACTTGGCATTCCTAAAGCTAGGGTGGCCTTTATTTCTCAAAGGCTGTGCAAGTACTGAATAATCTGTGCAAATACTGAATAACTGTTAGATGGGAGTCTAATAGCTGTTGCATCAATTTAGTATAATAGATCTACTAGAAATTTAATCCCACAGCATCCTATAAAATTCAATGGTAACAAGTTATTTGCTAAAAATAGAAAGATTGATCAGATTATATTCTTGCTATCAAACTTAAATGGATCCTAGATGATGTGATGAGAGATTGAATAGAGCAGCTGAATATTTCTGTTTCCAGATAACTGCAATGTAGGTGTCTTACACTCACTTGGAGTGGAAATGTGTTACTCCAACATTCCTTTGAAAAAGAGCTAGAGTCATTTCCAGATATTGAACATTTAAGCTCACCTTTGTTCTGTGTATAAGTTCTTTCAATATCATTTTTCGTGGATTAGCATCTTGTGGTCCTTTGATGGGCGTAGAGAAATCTTCTTGGTAGCAACCAAAAACCTATAGAACTATTAGATCAGTTGTGTGATGCATAACACTGTTTCATAGAACTAAGTTTGTACCAAATTTTAATCCATCTTTCTTATCTTGATCTTATTTGTCAGCATTGCTCTAAGGCATTTGTCTCTCATTTGCTCTACCACTACCTTAGCATCTGGTTACCTCAATTTTCCAATCTGTAATATAGATAGTGGGAGTAATTTCCCTTCAGTTTCCTAATGCCTAATTCCTCTACCTTTATGGTCTCTTCATTTTTTTGTTCTCTCCATTTTCATGGAAAATTTTGTAATACCATTAATTTGCTTTTAGAAAGCTGGGCTGGGATTCTAAGCTGGGCGAGAGTCACTTGGATGCCATGCTGAGAGGAGAGCTTTTGACTGTTCTGGCTCAGCTTGGACATGATGTGACTCAAAATGAAGCAAGGAGACGTTTATGATGCATTCTTGGAAGACCGAAATACATCCCTTCTGCCACCTGACATAAGAAAGGTACGTGGAGACACTCTCTCATTTGAATTATCCTATTTCTATTTATAGTTTTGTTGTGTTTTGTGTTATGGGATTTCTTTTGCAGGCAGCATATGTTGCTGTGATGCAAAATGTCAGCATATCAAACAGATCTGGCTATGAATCCCTCTTGAGGGTTTATAGAGAATCTGACGAAAGCCAGGAAAAAACACGAATTCTAGGTGATAATAATTTAGTCATTTAAGGTTACTAACCCATAGTGAATTTACAGAGTATTTTCATGAATGTTCCCTTTTGTGATGTAGGTTCATTAGCAACTTGTCCAGACCCAGATGTTGTGCTTGAAGTTCTCAACTTTTATTATCCTCTGAGGTAACAGAGTTACAGTTTCCTAAATAAAATTTAAGTTGGAATCTAGCTATTAGTTCCTTGAATGATTGATGGTACTGAATTTCTTTTCATTTGTCATTTAGGTTCGCAGCCAGGATGCTATATTTGGACTAAATGTTTGGTATTAGAGGGCGTGAAACAGCATGGACCTGGCTGAAGGTAATCTCAGTCCCCTGGTAACATGAGGGGGTTGTAAAATTATTTACATAATTGATATTAGTAAAGAATTTAATGTTCTTTACATTCTCATGGAGTATGCCATATACAGCAGAATCATCTTGAGACACTTGGAAGGGTGTTCTGCTGTTCCTTATTACTGTAAGGGGCATGTCAATTTTAATTGTATATAAATATATATTCTTCATGATAGTAAGCAATTACTAAAGTAAAAGAAGACGGCCAAATTTGGGAAATTTTTCTCAAATATAATGGAATTTGTCAACAATTTATTTACAGTAAAAATAAAGCTAATTTTATTGAATTTATCATATCCACATAATAAATCTGTTTTCCCCAGCCATATATTCTCTAGACAGAAAGGAGAATTGTCCCATTTTGAGTTGCCTTGAATGTGATCTGGCAAAAACAACTGCAAGACACTATGTAAAAGGCTCTTCTTAATCTGATCACGGCTTACCGTCAAATTTTGACCTCAAAGGAGGAGGATATCTATGTAGGAAAAACTCAGTTTAGCCTTCCACTTTTGACGGTAGTGGAATCTCTCAGCACAAGTGGTATTTGCAATTCTATCAGCCCTCAAATTAGCCCCAATATACCATAGAAACTTTCATCACTTGCCCGTAGATGCCTGCCATTTTAGTTTTTTCCTGAAAGCGTACCAATGCCTTCTTCATATTTGGAGATCTGGCTTTGACTACTGCTTCCGTTTGAGTCATTGAGACCATATTCCAAGTTATATAATCATCTGATGAATTCCCCTGCCTTGTGTGTATCTCCTTTAGAGACCTCTCCACTCTCCTCAAAATCTATATACCATTTCTTTAAGCTCCTCTTTTATTGAAGTCAAATTTGTATGTCATTGTCCTCCAACTGAGTCCAGATCAGCCTTTGGTGATTCCATTTTTTCATTTAATTCCTGTTTTTAAGTTTAGAGGTTTGCTTGAATAGCAGTGAGTTGCCATTTTAAGAATATGATATATATCAGCCTTTGGTGATTCCATTGTTGCAATTAACTCCTGTTTGTAAGTTTAGAGTTTCGATTGAATAGCATGACCTTTGCAAATATATCCTCAAGTATTCAAAGGAATAATGCTACTACAAATTGGCATATTTATGTCAATCATAGTTGAAAATATATTTGTTGTCTTATTTCTTTCTTTATTGATTGAATACAGGACCACTGGGATTACATCTCAAAAACTTGGGGCTCTGGATTTCTTATAACCCGCTTTATAAGTGCTGTAGTGTCACAGGTTTGTCAGCCCCTTATCTCTAACAGAGCATTGTTTAGAATCCAAAATTTCAATTTTCTTATGTTGCTATGTTCCAAGGAGATCATGAAGTAGTAAGAAATGGTAAGGAATATATTTATGGAAATCTATTATAGGCAAACAAGCGAATTGACTGATATTTTTGAACTCTATAGTAATTTCTGCTCCTCTTCCCAAACCACTTAAGACATGGGCTTGTTTGGCACAGTTTCCTGCAATTGAAATTCCTTTTTCAAACAAGGATTCTGTGTAAGGAATTTAAAAAAGTTTTTGGAAAGAGTGAAGATATTTGATAAATAAGTCATTCTCAAGAAGTTCATCCCAATGCTAATTAGGAAAAGACGAAGCCTGCTTTTCTAGGAAGGAGTTCTGAGTTTTAGGAGCCCTGTCTTCCGTTTTATGCCCACCAAGCACTACGTTAGAGACTTATATTTCGCTTTTGACCATCTCTATTTCTCCTTCCCTTTTCTGTTATTTCTGTTAAGTCCTTGATCCAATCGTTATTTATACTATTGCCCAATATGTTCTATGTATATTTTCAGCTTGTGCTTGGGGTGAGCAGTTGACATTTATTTCTCACCCATGTTATTCTTTTTTATTTTTTATTTTAGTTTGCTTCTTATGAGAAAGCAAAAGAAGTGGAGGAGTTTTTTGCAAGCCGAACTAAGCCTTCAATCACAAGGACTTTGAAGCAGAGTGTTGAACGGTTCATATTAATGCAAAGTGGGTCCAGAGTATTCAGAATGAGAACAATTTGGCAGAGTGGTGAAGGATTTAGCACAAGAGTAACTGAAACGGTGTTCTTTGGTCTGAAACCTTCAATATAAAGGTTTTCAGAGCTAGTTATCTAAATATATAAATAACGGAGGGAAACTAGATTCTCTCTCGGCACCCAAGTTTTGAAGTAACGACAATTCGATCTATCTTTGTGGAGTTATCTAGCTGATTGTTAATTTTCTTTTCGGTGCTTTAATTTGTGTTGGAGATCAGTTGAACTTCAGACCGCATATGATTCAACCATTTTCCTGAATGAGCTCGATGTTCATATGCCTTTTCTTTTCTTTGTTCGTGTTTCGGTCTTTATGTTGCGTACTGTGATTAGTACATCAGTTGAGCGCAAAGAAAACATGATTTTTTGCGAAGATATTTCCTTGTTTCGCATTTCTGTAGTATAAAGAAGTGTTCAGTGGCAAAGCTACATAGAGACAAGGTGGGCACATTAACTCCCTCAAAATTTTGAAAGTAAGGCTGTGTATTATAAAATTATTATAGAATGTTCCTTAATTTTTTAATTTTGTACTCACATGATGACTCGTACGATAAATTAAAAATTTATAGATAAATTTATGATAAATTAAAAGTTGAGGAAGAGTTTAAAATAAAAGCAAAAAATGTGAAAGGACTTTCTAATGACAAAAATATAAGATTTTTGAGGGATAAATGCAGCAATGAGATTAGCAATAACGAAATATGAAGAGGTTGGTGTGATAAGTTTTACCCTCACTATTTTTAGAGTCTTAATATCAGCACTGAAAATGTATATTCACTACTCTTCGGGGCTTAATTCCGCCACAGAAATTGGTACATTGATGTTGTGAACCACCTCAAAAGTTACTGATAATCGAAACTTCGTTGCTCAAGACATCACTATTTACACAGAAGAAGAGCCAGCAAAAGACAATTGCCATAATCCTTGAAAATAATATTTCGGAGAGGTGTCATAAGGTCTTTCAAAGAGCTGCTCTTCAAATTTCAAATGATTCTCAGAGTTTTCCTTCTTCTATTTAATCTCTTCAAGCTTACGGGTCTTCTCAAGCAGATTCCTTTCTAATGAATCAATTTCATCACGAGCTTTCTTCGCTTGTTCTGTCGCGTCCCAGGTTTCTGTAATTCGATCCAATGCTTTATAACTAATTATTTTATTTAATATTTTATCAGCCTCTACATTCCTCCAACTTTTGCACGAAAGCATGGTACGGCATGGCATGGGACACGACATCCTAAGCCCACTAAAGTGAGATAAGATTGCCTCTTGCATGGCTGCCATGTGGCAACATTCACGTTCGCTTCCGTAAGGGTAACGTTTTTGTTCTAATTAAATAAAGGGACGATTTTGTCCTTGGTTTTGTGTCACGGGCACCCTATACTGGTCCTATATATAAATATATATATATATATAACAACCGAAATAGCAGAGGTAGTTTTCTGTTTATATACGCTGCGAGGGACATGTCTTAAGAAGGGGAGAGAGGGGGGTTGTTTGCTGATAGCAGAACTGAATGCGAGTGAGGAAAGCTTGGCGTCATATGGAAATTGAACAGGAGCAGTTTCGTCGGCACCGCAGCAAACCCGGTAATTTCGAGAGTTCTCATTTATGTCCCTCAACTGTCAGTTGCGGTGAAGCTATTCTTGGCAAAATAAAAAATAGATACTGCTAAAAGTTACAATAAAATTCATTGACAACCAATTGAAGAGCGGTTGGAGGAATATATAATTGCAACGTATACAGGGATCTTCCAAACTAGAGAGTAAACAGATTCATTTTCTGTCTAGTGCTTCTGCGATATTTTTAAGGATTGAGTACCTGAAATTTTATTTTGCTCCCTTTACCTTTTCTCTTTCTTTTTTCTTTTTTATTTTTTTTTAACTTCTATATATCAAAATCTGCCCAAATTGATACGAGTCCATAAAAATGCTGTCAAAAATTGCATGACATGGCAATTTTCCATGAATTATTTTACTTCTTGCATGCTAAAACATTACTATGATGTAAAACTCTTTCTGCCAAGTAAGCCATGCATAATTAAGCAGTAGAAAGAAAGAAGAAAATTGATCATCTCACCCGGTTGTCTAAACTGTTGGAGAGAAGAACAAGTGGGTGCCTTTTCCCCATGGAAGCCATGCATGTCGAAGCAGTAGTCAGCACCAACATCAAGGATATGGAGGAAAATGTACGTATTCTCGTCGTTTTGTTCGCTGGTTGGGCATTTTGTTTCGTCCCGGGACATAATCCTCCAGTCGTGGTTGTTTCGTCCATTGGTGGGTTGTTTGTTCTACCCATTTTGATTATTAGTTTGAGGGATTTGGTTGGATAGAAACTTAGAGTTCGTACGTTTGGATGAGCAAGATTTTACGTCTTTCCGTAATTTTTTTGGGATTTAGTTGGATTGAGTTGAATATGAACTCTAACGGAGATTTGTTATTAGTTTGAGGGTTTACAATATCTAATTTGAACTGGAAATCAGGGTTTGTAGGTTCGGTCATTTAGCAACCCTAACCATTCGTACATCTCAGCCCGCCATACTCATCAAACCGAACCAACCATCAGAATGAATTATAAACAATATTGTGAAGGGGTTTACCCAAAAACTAAGAAGTGGAAGTACTCACCTAGTGGAGTAGATGCACAATCCCTGAGGAGCTTAATAAAATGAAGGGAAAGCAAAAGTAGGAGAATCGAGATTAGTAGCGAGGAATGGCTAGATCCTCAAAATAGTGAACTATAACTGAATATGACATTGTTAAGCAGTTGAGCTAGAGACCAACCCAAATTTCCATCCAAATCTATTGTCATCCCTAGAAAGGCATGCCTTAGCGAATTCTTTGTACCAAACGATATAACAAATGAAAGATTCAGCAACTTGGTTGGCACTAATTATGGCACCTCCACTATCACTTTTTCGGATGATGAGCTCTTAACAGAGGGAAGAGGCCACACAAGGCAATGCATATATTAGTCCCATGAAGGGGTAAAGTGATTCCAAAAGTGCTAGTCGATGATGGTTTTGGTCTTAAAAGTTTGTCCAACTAACACATTCAAAAGATTGGGATGCAATTAAACTCATTTGACAAATTACTCAATTGTGGTGAAAGTTTTTGACAATTCAAGAAGAAATTTCATGGGAGAGATAGACCTACCCATTACTGTAGGCTCTATCACTCTCAACATTCATTTTTCATGTCCTAGACATCTTATCTGCCTATTTGTCTCCTCGTGAATGGATTCCTAGTTCAGGCGAAGTGTCTACCCTCAAATTTGTATCCTAGCAAAAAATGATTGCCACATTTGGGCACAAAGCGACTGCGGTATCACCCACATTCTTGTTGGTCTCTAGTAAGTTTAGTACACACACAACCTACACAGACAAAAATTAAGAATAGGGATAAGAGAAAAAGAATGGCACAGATTTTAACGTGGAAACCCAATTGGAAAAACCACGGGATCGATTGTCGATCTATGCAGTACTCCTGATATAAAAGAAGAATTATAATAGGAAGAGATTACAACTGAACTCTCTCTATATCTCCCTCTCTTCTCTTAGCTCTCTGTTCTCCTCACTTGACTCGATACTTGCTGCCTTGTCCACAAAGTTTTCTCACACTTTGGTATTTATAGAGGAGAATGGTGGCCATTTTTAACCTCGAGCCACCTTATTACAGTCAGGCCTCCCTATAGCTGCCTGAGCCGCCCTTGAGCTGACCTTGATGTAAGACAATTCATTGCCTATTCCCCTGAGCCGACCTATTTGCCTTTAATTGATGAGGCACTCAACAATTCTCCCCCTGCAGAGTCAACTAGGGAGTACAATTCTTGCTCTTTTGCAACAGTTTTCAAACTTTTGAGTAGAAAATATCTTAGTCAACATGTTGGACCAATTTTCATCTATGTGTACTTTTTCGAGTTGTATTTGTTTTTCCTCCAGGACATCTCAAATCCAATAATATCTTATGTTGATGTTTTTTGACCAGGAGTGGAACATAGAGTTCTTTGACAAGTGGATAGCACTTTGGTTATCACAGAATAAGACATATTTTTCTTGCTCTTGACCAAGCTCGAGC